TAACATATTTAATTTTTTAAATAACCAATACATTATAAATTTGGACCAATTAATTTCCAAACTTGGAACTAAGTTAAATTACTCAATAATATTCACCAAATACATTTTTTTCCCTTTAAAAAAAATGATAGAATCATTAATATATTGACTAACAACTTTTTGGTTTGAACTTAAGAGAATAAAAACGCCTTGTAAATAGTATTATATAAAAACATATTGACTAATAATATTAAAAAGTTCAACAATCAAGATGAAGAAATAAGATGTTAGAGGATATTCTTATCTTACACCTCTATCTATTTAGAAGAATTTTATAAAGACCTTATCAACATATACTATTGTGCTTTTGCTATAAAGAATAATTTTGGTCATATGAAAAAAATAATTGTCATAGCCAAATTTTTCAAAGTTTTTTTTTTTTTTTTTTTTTTTTAAAGTCTCTTGAAATTAGATACTATGCTTTTAGTCCTGTCTTTAATAACTTCTTTAATTTCATATTTATAAAATATCTTAGATAAGTCCTTATTCATATTTTTAATGATCTTGGATAGACTATTATTAAGTATGATAGTTGTGGATTTTTTAAACTCCTTAGATCCTTGAACTTTTTTAAAAGATTAGAACATGAATTAAAACAAGTTAAAGGACTAATGTCTTGAAGATTTTCTTAAAGATTAAACTATACTTAATAAATATAATTTCTTGTATGTAAGAATACTAGTTCTTTACAAAAAGAGTCATAAAAAAATAAAATCTCATATAGTGGATAAAAAATATTCTATTATTTTATTGAGATTAAATTTTATTAATCCATTAAAAAATTCAAAGATCATATAAATAAAAAATAAGTTTTTAAAATTTGATGATTTAGATTTAAAAATTATAAATGAAATTGAATGAAGAGGTGGTCAAATAGTGCACAATCACATCATAATCTTATCTCATTAATACTATAATGTCTAAGGATAATATTGAAGTCATGTCTTACGACCAATAAAAAATCTTGTACCTCCATATCACTTGATTTTATTCAATTGTGTGTGTGTCAAGGACATGAACTAAAAGATGATACATAAACCAATGAAATCCGGGTCAAAGAAAGAGTGACAAAATAGAAATAAGGAAGTACGAATATTAAAAGAAATTAAAAAGGCTTATTACCAAAAGACAAGAAAACTTGAGACTCTTGAAACTAGACTAGAAGCAAGAAAGGAGTTGACAAGAGTGAAGAGGGCTTCAATCTTGTTTCTATATATATTATCTAACTAGGGGCTATGTGGCAATATTCTATAGGACCTCCTACATGTGTTGATTTTGTAGGACACATGCCTTGACTTACAAGGCAAATTTTTCTATGTGTGGGCCATATAGTTAGCTTAGTCTTCAAGCTAATAACATGTTTGGCACATGGCCAACTTGTTGACCATGTTTCTAATCCAAAAGTCAATTAGAGAAATCTATAAAGTCAAAGCAACATTTATGAAGCTTCCATAGAAGATATTATAGAATTAACTTTCTTTTACCTACTTCTATTTATTTCTACCTATTTATATAAGTAATTATTGGCTTATATGCATATGTTCGTGACAGTTTGCCACAATAGTCAAAACAAATTTTTAGTATTATATTATTTAGAAGAGTTATATTATCTTTAAAGAATCTTAAGTCATAAGGTAGTAACCTTGTACCAATATCCATTAAATTTATAACCAAATTTTTTAGAGACATATTATTTTTATATAGCCGTTTGTTATCAAAGACAATTCTTGAAGATTTGGCATATTATTCTAAGGTTTAATTCTTCAAATATCTATCTATCTATCTATCTATCTATCTATTATATAAATATTTTTGCATTCCAAGGTATTGTCCACAAAAATTTAGATTGACTATTTGGAAATATTAGATTGGATGATAAAATAATGATGGAGGTTAATTAATACTATTAGACTAACTTGAACATTAGATAGCAAAATATTAGTTGCATAAGATTGCAATATCAAAGATACAAGCTTTTAAATATATTAAAAAGATGCAAATGAATTTAGATTTGATGGATCAAAATATGGTATAAATAAATTGGTTGGATTGATTCTTCTTTGTTGTAAGGCTACTTATCAAAATTTGATATAATTATGATTTTTTATCACATTATCATATTTTCCTTCTAATTGAAGTACTCAGATGTGCTTATTTTTTTTATTTTAACTTCTTTTAATTATCTTATATTATTTTGTAGAAACTTATTAAGATCAAGAAAACAAGTTAATGTATGAATTGACAAGTTCAAAGTCTTTATTTGTGTAATTAGCAGTATATATGGAATAAGATTGGAAATTTTTGTTTGTTTCTATATTTTTCATACTACTTTAAATGTTATTTTTCTTTCTTTCTTTGGTAATGCTTTACTAATATGAAACCATTTAGATCAAATTTCTATACAATATTATTGGATTGAATAAAAATCATATTTTGTAAGGCATTCTTCTTTGATTTTGATTTTTATTAGAGCCTTCTTTGAGGATCTTGTTAAGACCACTTTTGCTTTGAGATGTCACAATCCAATATTCTTCCAAAATACTTTTTATTATAATTTAAGTTAGAATCTTTAATAAGCCCGAAAATAATGTGTCTTTTGGATTTCATATTGTATATGAATCAAATAATAGATTCTATAACTAGAATATATAAAGGCTAAGAGATATTTTTGAAGGCAAAGAAATTAAAACATATTAAAAGACTTCTTCTATTGAAATTATTAAATATAAATAGTTGCATCCAATTATTATTTTTTATAATAAACTTGTTATTTTTTTAATATTCTTGATATCTTCTTTCTAGCCAATGATTTCATATTGTATTAGTTTGCTATACTTAAAATGTGCAATAATAGGGAAGCACCAAAGTTTGTTAATTTACTAAATCATAAGTTTAGAATCGACTAAGAGTTTTTGCTACCAAGTTTGGAGAAGTAAATATTTGTAGCTATAAAATAAAATAAAATAAAAAAAAACTAAGAGGGATTTTTTAGGAACTAACTTACTTGGATAGAAGTGACCTTGTTGCTTGAATAAATCATGTGATGCAACATATTATATTTCATTTAATAAATTAAGAGATAAGATTAGAATTATGTTTAAGGTGTCTTGTTTTTTTTTGTCAAAGTTATTTTTTTGATATTGCTCTTGTCTTACACACAATTTGTGTAGGATGAAATTGCCATAATCTTATTTAAAAACCTAAAAAAACATAAAAAAGCTCTAAATGACCTTATATTAATTTTATTTTTCTTGCTACTACTACCATGTATGTACAACAACTTTGTGGTGGTGCCTAAGTTGTGCTTTTAAGCCATATGATACACTATGGCAATAAAATCCTATTTATTTCACTATGCCTTTCAATCCTAATAAGCACCTCTATAAATCAGCATTTTGATAAAAATTCATTTTTCACTTGCTTTAAAGTTTTTTTAAGATAAAAATTATAGTAGGCAATAGAACCAAGTTTATCAGAGTAAGTATCAAAATGAATGGTACAATAGTATCACAATATTCTAATAAAATATTTTTATATATAAATATGGTAATAGTATAAGTAAAATTATTTTTTAAACATTCATTTATTAGAAATTTATGTGGCTTTAATTTCTATGATATTATAAGTTATAAGTAAAATCTCTAGATATTTTGCTATATTTATTTTAAACTACAAAAAATACTAATGTTTCTTTGTTGTAAATATATTAGTAATAATAATATCTAATATTATATTTTCTATTAAAAAAATTATTAAATAGGTTAATAGAAGATCAAGCATGATTTGAAGAATAGTTTCTATTAAAAAAAATTGAATACAATTATTTTGTCCTTGTTAGTGGTTTGTACTATTAACTTAAATCTATAATAATGCTTGGTTGATTAGGTACAATATCATATATATCGAAAAAAACTAAGTGAAAATTAGATTATTATATTTTTTTCTGATTTTTGGCTCATCCTAGAAAAATATATATATATATATATATATATATATATATGATTATTAATACTTTAATACAAATATATACCTATAAAGATTTTGTAGTAGTAAATTTATCTAATGAAAAATTAAATATTATATTTAGAATTAATTCATTATTAATTAATTTATTATTATTATAAAATTATTGTGAATAAATAAATATCATCTATGTATATTAAAGTATCTATCTCTCCATCACTCATTTTATTTGGCATAATATCTTGTACTATTTTTTACAAAAATATCTTGACGAGAAAAGAATCATTCAAAATAAAATTAAACAACAAGAGTAATTTCTATTCCTTAAATCATCATTGTTTTCTTTCTTGAAAAAGGAATTTATAATTAATTTTGTAACTAATATAGTAATTCAATATGTGCTCATTTTGAAAAATCTACTTGCTTGGATGATTTCCACGTTAACATATTTTTTTTAATATATAACTAAATTCTATATAAACATGAAAAATATCTATACTTTTTAAAGCATGAAGAATACCTAGTATTAAATATTTCCCGCAAGATGAACGGTCGGGCAGCGGGGGTAGGCTGCCCGCCCTTTAGGAATGGATGAATGCCATCCACAGTAGGATTCCCTGCACAAACTACCTTTCATTGGTCCCCCAACACCGCGGTGCAAGGCTCACGCTGCGTCCAATGACATCTAGCCAGCTGGTCAGAAGGAGCAACGACCGACCCACTCGCATGGGAACGCTAAGGGAACATTCATTCCTTATCCCAGCGCACAGGATCCCATGCTGCACAACTACAATTGTCGACGGTCGTCGCCGGGGACAGCTCGTGCCAAAAGCGAACACGCCGGCCGTTGGCGGCGTCAAGTAAACAGGGTCATTGGAGCCCGTCAGTCAGGCCACCAGTTTGTCCCCCACCCCTCTGTTCGTCCGTCCGTCCGCCCGTTCGTCCGTTCGTTCGTCTGTGGAAGAGCGTGCGGGGAAGTGTTTCAATGCCATCACAGGCATCTCGTCGTGCATAATCACCCAGGCGACTCTCCCTGCTACTTGTGCGTGTTCTGATGCTCGCCTCGACTCTTCCTCCATCGTCAACATCTGCACAGCTGCTGCTGCTGCTTCTGCCCCATTGACGCAGGAGGGTTTTGAGTCAGTTCTTCGCAGTGGTTCGTTCTCTGTGCCTTTCTTTGGCTTCAGTGTTTGGATCTGTGTCCACGTTGCTTGGCGGTGTACCGGAGTGTAGTGATTGCATTCTCAGGCGATGAGAGAGCCTTGTTTTGGAGATTACAGGCGTCATTGCGCATGGTGGGATGTGTGAGGGTAGGGTTGGTTAGCTTGCCGTGTTAGGAGGGTTTCTGAAGCGTCGAGGTTTTGAGAAGCTTGATAGAAAGGATTGAGAGGACGGGTGGTGAGGGTTTTGCACGGGTTTGTCAACGTGAAGAATTTTTGTTTTTGTTTAGTTAAGTTAAGTTTAGCGTGATTTATTTTTATTTTTATTTTTTTGATTCTTTTGGCGGGGTTGATGCTGAAGTGGGTATTTCTTTTTTGTGGGCGTATATAAGTTGCGGTAGAGATTATGAGAGATCAGAATGCATGGATTACAGAAACGACAGAAATCGTTTGCTTTGTGGCGGACTTACAATGTAGGTTTTAGGTGAATGAGCTCTGTGTGTGGCAGAGAGAGATTATTGATTGTGAGTATTGTAAGAGGTTATCCAGGTTGAAGGTAGGTTGAGTAGTTCAGTCCTATGTTTGTACTCAAGAATTGGATCGATTGTAGGATTTGAGTTCACACGGCAGGAGGCAGGGCGATTCAGTTTATCAATCTGTATTGCAGTGGAGCAGCGCAGAATTGCTGCGAGTAAGGAGGAAAAATGGGCACGAAGCTCTGTCTCGATTTGTTTGCGCGGGTCTGCAGATTTTGAAGGACCACAATCGAAATTTGGAACTATATGACACGTTCAAATGTTCAAAGTTGCAGTATGGAAAGCTCAGAAGAGCAGAAGAGGATTGCAGTTTAGTGGAATGGAATCGAGTTCACGAGAACATGGTGTTTGGTCTCTCTGGCATCAAGTCTCTGCAAGCGGCGCGCAATGGTTGACTAATAAGTTCGAACAATTAATAAGGGATTTTCTTTAGCTGCAGTAGTTTGCACATTTGCCCCTGGGACTATTGGGTTACGGCCGAGGCTTTTCTCATGCATTGCCTATTCATCATCAGCTGTGATCACAGTGATTCTGGTTTCTCTAACCGCACGACTGCTTGCATCACTTTTTTACTGGATAGTTTATAACCAGGATGCCATTGGCTTATGGGAAAAGGGACTGTTATTCAGAAGACACTGGTGGTGGTCCCTTAACAGACTTTGTTGCTCAACCAGCAGCTTGTGGCGTTGCTGAGGATCATGTACTGAGGAGCTACCTTTCCCTGTCATTCTTGGGAATTGGATCAAGTCACAAGGATTGGAAGTAGAGGGCTTTTTTCAAATTTTATTTCGTGCTTCCGTACCCTCTGAATGGTAGTTGGGGTGACGGGCTCTGGTGCAGGTCTTAGGATTTCATGTCTTCTGTTTGACTATTCGCAATGCTTGGGGTCGGGACGGAGTTTTGGAGTTTAGGATACGAGTGGCTATTTAATTAAGAGACAGTTTGCTCTTCCGCCTTGTGTGCGTGACGAGTAAGAGTGAAGTGGTTTGTAAGGATCCGAGCCGGAAGCATTTCAAGGAGAAGCCACAACCTGGCAGTGGCCTCAAGATGGCTGAGCTAACAGAAGATGATCGAGACACAACCTTACGGTTCAAGTTTCCAGTTGGGCGTCAGTATTCTTTGAGGTGACAATGAGAGAAGTTGTCGTTGGGAGAAATCCAAGTGGTGGATGCAATGTCGCGCCATACTTCGGGCTCGGCGTTCCACAAGTCGAAAACCCTCAATGACAAATACGTACGAATCCCTTTTTCATTGCACCGATACTTCTTCTCAGTGATGTTCATTCAAGTGTGCAAGCAGAAGAACATTCCTGTTTTAAGAAGTTTTAAAGGTTTTGCACAAAAATTGTGCACACAGTTTAGACTCATTTTAGTTGTTAACCAGAACCACGGAGGTTTGATTGGTAGCACATCAGTGTTGGCTTTCATGTAGGAAGACCACTGTCATAGTATCGATTTTCTTCAGTTGAGTCCCACTTTGAATTAGAGACGGTTGCAAAACTAACACTTGTGCAGAAATGTAAGCTGATGAGTAGAATTACAATGTGGGATATGTTCTCCTGCTTGTTTTTGAGATTCTTTGGCTCAATGTGTCAGAATTTAGCTTTTCTGCTAGTGTCTTGACTTTGACCAATTGTATTTGGCAGATGCTTGGTGACGAAATTGGAAAAGGTGCATATGGGCGAGTGTACAAAGGGCTGGACTTGGAGAATGGCGACTTTGTGGCCATTAAACAGGTCTCATTGGAGAATATTCCACCAGAGGATCTCGCTAGCATTATGGTAAACACTTGGACTATCATGATCAGTTCAGGTTCTACTGCACATTCATGCACAATTTTTGTGCTTCAACGTCCTCCAGTCCATTGTGCAATCTCTGCACCCATTGTCTATCCTTGGATCTTGCAGTCAAGATTCAGGAAGCTGTTGTGTTGGCTTTATATATTGGCGTTTTGAAAAGCTGGTGACTGTTTTGAAAAGCTTGGTGGTTTTCCAAATGGACTAGTTTGTCCAGTTCCCCAAGTTTTATCTCAATGTCTTATAAGTAGGCAAAGTTGATGTGGTGTCGCTCGAGCGTTGAGCAATTTGTAGATGTTCGCTGTTCTCTTTTTATCCTCCTTAATGGTTGTTGCCTTAGCTGAGGGCATCGCTTTACATACTTATATAAAGTCTGAAACTGGATTACTTAGTTGTTTCATAGAAAAACTGGCAGTTCTAATAAAATAAGCGTCACTTGCGCCACTTCTTTAAAGTATGTGTTCTGATGGGGGTTTCTTGGACATGCGTTGATTGAATATGCAGTCGGAGATCGACCTTTTAAAGGTACTGTTCAGAACTGTAGTTTGGCAGTTAAAGTTATAAGAATTCTCACAAGGTTTTATCATGATAATTGTGCAGTTGCCTTCAAGTTTATGGACGACTATTGCTGCAGTTTCATGAGTTTTCATAGTTGTTTGTTATGATTGTGTTTGCAGAATCTCAACCACAGAAACATAGTGAAGTATCAAGGCTCTTTCAAGACTAAAACGCATCTTTACATCATACTTGAGTGGGTTGCAGTTCTTAGTCAGATTTTTTGGTGGCTATGTCATGGTTGTGTTATGTGTAGAATGTATGTTGTGACAGCTTTCTTACGGATTTCTTTAAGTCTAGTTCTTCTCTGTGCTGTCCTCATAGAACCACGCATCAAAATGAATGGCGATCTGTATTTGAAAGAGCTGTGGCTTTTCAGCATTGCGTGTGTTCGGTTTCTAAATTTTTTAGTTGAAATTCTATTGAACAGCACAAAACATTATAAACACAATTATTGTTGCACTTCATCATAGGAGTCTTTTGTTGCATTTCAAGGGTTCCGAAGGCTAAATCTTGCATTTTATTTTTGGCATTGTGACCCAGATTTGTTGAGAATGGTTCTCTGGCTAACAATATTAAGCCCAACAAATTCGGGGCTCTTCCTGAAAACGTTGTGGGACGCTACATTGCTCAGGTGTGTCACGATAACATTTATTCGGTTCACCTTGGTGATGTAGTGTTCTAGAGACACACTTTTAACGTGTTCGGAAATGATATGTCAGACATTGTAAATATGACGTGCCTACTTATTGTAAGTGTTTAACTGGACTGTCTCCTATAAATGTTTTAAAATTAGTTATGTAGGTTACAGGATGGTGGATATTCTTGACAGAAAAATTATTTTGTTCCTTCATGATGGGTGCTAATAATCTTGGTAATGGGGATACAATCTCTATTCTAAACTTTTCCTCTCCAAGCCGCTCTCAAATTGGGTTTGAACACATAACTGACGTCGTTGATTTGGAAATTGTAGATTTTTCATCAAGATTCATTGACATTCTATTGGTTGTTGTTATTTAGATCCTTATGTTCTTGGTTGAGGTGATCGAACAGGAGCATGGATTTACGTTTTAATTGTTGTGATTCGTTTGACTCGTATTTATAGGTGTTGGAAGGTCTTGTTTACTTGCACGAGCAGGGTGTCATTCACCGTGATATCAAGGGTGCCAACATACTGACCACGAAGGAGGTGGGTTATTCACGGTCTGAGCTGTGCTGTCTAAGTTTCCGTTCTTTTAATTATCCAGCTGAGTTACTAGTCCTCTAGCTCTACTTACATGTTGAGGGGTTTTCCATATGGGAAACTTCAGACCTAATTCAATGCTGGTTATTGTCCAAATAGGGAGAGGTAAAACTCGCAGATTTTGGAGTTGCCACCAAATTAACCGAGGCTGACATCAACACTCATTCTGTTGTTGGTACACCTTATTGGATGGCTCCTGAGGTCAGTGGTGTTCTGAACAGCTTTGGTTTTCTCTTTACGGAAGGACTTTCATTCCAGTGTCGTAATTCTTCTATCATCAAATTTATTCTAGAAGTGTCCCAGGGAATCATTAACGGAATAGTTTATCTGACAGGTCATTGAGATGTCGGGAGTCAGTGCTGCGTCGGATATCTGGAGTGTGGGCTGCACAGTGATTGAGCTGCTGACATGCGTCCCACCATACTACGAATTGCAACCCATGCCAGCTCTCTTTCGCATTGTACAGGTATTATTGAAGGCAAATGTCGTTGTATGTAGTGTTGAGAAGCCAGCATGGTCTGTGTATTCTGTAAGTGTTGTTTGGTTTTTTGGTATTTTGGTATTAATGGCTATTTTAAGGTTAATATGATTATTATTATTAGCTTTGTCAGACTCTTTTTTCTATATATGTGTAATGATGTACTAAAGGTGCTTGTGTGTTCGTAGGACGATCATCCGCCCTTACCAGAACATATATCTGAAGTCATCACCGATTTTCTTCGCCAGTGTTTTCAAAAGGTATGGCCGCACTCTCTTTGAATGTGGATGATTCATCTCATTTGCACAAAATGCATGTCAGCTTAAAATAGAAAATATAGCCTCGCAAATTGAATGATGAGGAATATTTTAGTACTTAACTCCCAATTTATATGCACTGAATGTTTTTGTTTAGGATGCAAAACGACGACCAGATGCACAGACTTTGTTGAGTCATGCTTGGATTCGAAAGTCTAGGCGCGAGAAACGAAATGAAATTATCAGGTACACTTCCAATCTTTGTAGTGCTTCTTGATAAGATTGAAATTCTTTTCAATTTGATGAATTATGGAAGGCGAGCCATAATATTTTTGCAAGGCTGGATAATGAAGTCTCTTCATACCATGTGATATTGCACTGAAGCTAAGGTGGTGATCCACGCAGTACTGTTCCTCGAGAAACTCCATCCACAGAAGATGCCACTAGTGAGGAGAGTAGACAGCAAAATGCGGGACCAGTATCCAGTGCTAGACCCACAACCAGGGATTCTTTTGAGACTGGCTCAGTAAGTATGCAGACTTTTCTTATGTTCTAGCCAACGAACTTGTATGTTTTGTTCTTGATTTGTCTCTTTTTCTGGGGTAGTAGTCCTAGGGGGTATCCTGTAGCATTGATTAATATGCAGATAAGAAATCCTCTCATTGTGGTTGTTTATCATTAAGAATGCAACTCGTGTCATTATTACTAGGATGAGGGAAACGGCCATTCTCTAACAGCGAGTCCTGAGGCGAGCAGTGGTCAAAGCAACAGCATTGGTCCACGTGCTCCTCTTCGCATTCCAAGCCATGGTATTGCGCACTTTCCTCGATTACCAGGGAGTCATGATCAAGACTTAATTGAAATGAACATGCCCAGCACTGCTAAAAGGTTGCCTCCTACGGTAACTACCCCATTAACTAGACCTCCTGCAGGTGTACGGGTTTTGGATTCCTCAGAGCCGACCGTACATAATGTAGTGCTTCAAAGAACACCCAGTGACACTGAAGAACATGTGAAATTCGAAGTAAGTGGGATGCGGAGTACCTCAGGGAAGTTTACTCATATTCTTCCAGGTCAAGAGGATGTGGAAGGGATTGGTTCCTTATTGGGAACAGAGTTTAATAGTAAGAAAACCGATAATCATGGAATGAAAGTCGAAGCAAATGGAAATCATTTATCCTTACAGGTCTTGTTATCTTATCTCTACCCCTTTGTTTTGTTGAGATCTCTTTTATGGTGGGAGTAGTAAGCTGGAAGATGGCCTCTTACTTGCATAAGAGGGATCAGTACTTCTAACAATTAGGTTGACCTGGTACTATATCGGTTGAGGTGATCACGACATTTACTTATTCGCACGACTTCCAGTGTTTATTTGACGCTTGCCACAGAGTTGCAAGAATTGTGTAAATGTTTAAATAAGCTAATGCGTAGCAGTAAGTTCTTTGTATGCTGTTCACATCGCGTGTTTTGATGCAAGTTTTGATATTTGCTGATATTTGAATGTCCTCAAATGTTTTCAGGCAGGAAAACCATCCCCCGTTCATTCTAGCAAATTGACTGATGGACCGTTGGATGATAATACAAACGACCTATTTTTTGGGGTGCAAGAAGTATATCCCCCAGTTTCAGCGGTTACTAATCATGGCTTACCTCCTCGTGGGGGTTCTTCTGAGATTCATGTCACAGCTGCGAAGGCGAAGGTGAAGACGGCTAAAAAACGAGTAGAAGCTGAGACTTTACAACCTGCAAAACCAAACGGATATGAAAGTTCTGTTGATCTTGATGATGATGAAAGCATAAGAACTGGCCAGGTAAGACATGTCAGAAAGTTGTGTTTGAAACATCAACTCCAAATGTTTTTTTTTTTTTTTTTTTTTTTTTTTTTTTTTTTTTTCCAAAATCAAAGGATGGGTTAAGTAATTATATTTTGCTCCTGCATCATTATGTTGCAGAATCTAAGAGCTTTTGACCTTGTGCGTTCTGTCATGATAAGTTAGTGCTCATAAGTTATCTCATTTAAAGTTAAATATTTTTTTTTATAAATTTGCCTATTTTCACTTAAGAAATGGTCCAGAGCCTTGACTTTGAGACAGGTTAAGGGTTTTACAAAATCGAGTTGAAGTATTGTAAACTAGGACTTGGTGTAATGAAGAGACTTGTCATGATTTTGCTGTTCTTTGTTGCAGTGTATGGTGACCAGGGCAGAGGGCGCTGAGTATTTGGCTAAGCAGGTATTTTGGTAGATTCTAAAATACCAACTAAGATTTTTGTAGTTTTGTACAATTGGGGGTGAATTGGTATTTCAATTTACTTCCTTAGGATCTGCGATTCAATGCTGTGCATCTATCCTTCACAGCCCCTTGTTTTGATGAATTGGTTATTCCACACTTGGGTACGCTTGGACATTGCCCAATCGTTGTACAATTATCAAAGTTTTCACTTTCAATATAAATTTTGTGCAGGCTTTAGAAGTAAGTCGGTTGATGTCAATGCTGAAGTTAGATGAGACCGAGGAGGTGATTCTTGCAGCTTGTCAGAAACTATTCAGCATTTTTCAAGAATTTCCAAACCAAAGGAAGGACTTCATGAGGCCTCATGGCATCATTCCGCTTATTGACATGCTTGACATGAACAACATCAGGGTACGAGACTTATCGTACTTCTATGATCTTGTGTAAAATGTCCATATACCTATTGTTTTGTAACGAGCATCTTTACGAATTCAGTTTTGTTGGATTCCCATGAACAGGTTGTATATACAGTGTTGAGAGTGTTGAATCTGATCACGGACGACAACATTGAACTCCTAGAAAGTGCTTGTCGTGCTGGCATGGTGAGTCTTATTATCGATTTCGGTCAATTTCTAGTACGTATTCATGCAAGAAATCAGATGTATTATTATGTTGTTTAAGTTGTTTAATGTTTCTTAATTTGATACATGTCTCGATTTCTTAATTTACCACGAGTGTTGCATGTATTAGAGTTTACTCCTATCCAAAGTTGATACTCTTATTGTTGTAATGCTGCTTTTCAGATCCCTATAATGATGGGCTTTGCAAGTGCGGAGTGTTTGAAGGAGGTGCGCATGCAGGCAGCATATTTCATAAAGAAACTCTGCCAGAAAAGGTGAGGTTTACACGTTCTGATAACAATACTAGCGGATACACTATGTAGTAAACATGTGGAGTTCTCTTGCTTCTTTCTTCTTTATAATAACGAAATGCAGCTGGCATTGCACAAAACAATATGATAGTTGGGAAGCCTTGCGATTGTGAATGACTGATGTATAATTGTTTTTAATGTTGTGAATTATTTGATGGTAGCCAGAAACTTGTGATAATATTTCACATCCTGTACATTTTCAACGTAGGCATTCACGCCCATTTTAATTATGCTTTGTGTTAAATGCAGTTCTTTGACTTTACAGATGTTCATTGCATGCCGGGGCCTTCCAGTATTAGTTGGTTTCTTGGAGAAAGATTATTCAAAATATAGGTAAGTTCGTCCTTTCATTGTTATTTGCAATTAACAGAGATATTTTTAGCTCTAAAAGTCATAAGTTGCGTTGACACGTCTATTAGTCAAATCTTGGAAGTTTATTACTGTGGCTGTTGTATTTTTTGAAATTATTATCATTCACAAATTATTAGCTAGAAGGTAACAACGTGATGATGCAAGTCCATTAATGTATAAGTGAAATCAGAATCCTGTTTGATTGAAGTGGGAATAAGTACTGGATTCGCCGTCATGCTATAAGGTCATGCTTACAACTTGTTCTAATATTGTTTTTTCTGTGTCTTGTGTTCAGGGAAATGGTGCACATGGCCTTAGATTGTATATGGCAGGTCGTTGATCTCCCTGGCTTGAGCCTAAAAAATGATTTCTGTCACATATTTGCAAGAAGCAGTATACTTGCTCGATTGGTTGACACTCTTCATACCCTCAGCGAAGCCTCCCGGCTGCTTAGCACTTCATTGGCCACTGAGCGACCCTATCAGCCCAGTATTGAAAACGTGTCTACTAACATTGGTAACCAGAAAACAACTCTTGGATTGAGTAATGGAGATTCCGCAAGGATGCAGCCTGTGCAGGGGCATCAGGCAGGGCTATCTGGGCTACCGGAATTTTCGTGGCAAAATTTACCTGGGCAAGTGGGATATGCTGGGCTGCACTCCGGGAATCTGACTCATTCAAAACTGACAATCCTATCTGGTCGACTTTCAGACCCCTTTCAACCAGGGTACGGAGAAAGTATGTGGGTTATGGGTGGCGGTGGTGGTGATCAAAGGGAAAGAGATGATGAAGCAAGGTCAGATGGTGAGGCCAGGCCGCTTCTAGCGGATGAAGTATGGGGTACATCTAAGTGTATTAATGGGTTGGTGGACATCTCTCAACTAGACGAGGTTTGTTCTCTCTCACGAAATGTTGCATGGTCTTAGATACACATATGTGCTAGGTGCCTTCCATCGGAAACATGTACGAATATGTTGTCATATTATCAACATCATTTTCATCTAAATCCTGACTTCCCTTAGTGTAATTTGATGTTTTATTTTCACCGTGACTTTACACCTTAGTTACTGAATCGGCCCCAGCTTCTTCTTGTTTTTTTTTTTTTTTTTTTTTCTTTTTTTTTATAATGGTTTGGTTGTCTACTCTTATCGACAAGGATCTCCATGCGAATTCTGTTTCTGAGCTTCTTCATCCTTTGAAACAGGTTCCAGTTAGAGAGATCTCATCGCCAACCCTCCACTCAGGTGTTTTGCCGAAAATGAATGGTGATTTCGACTCAATGGCGGCTAGTTTCACAGGTCTATTGTTTACTTGGAACTGCTATTGGCTATTCGTCTAGAGTGTTTTCCTATGTTGAGTCTGAGTTGCATTTGTTGTACCAGGTGCCTAATGTGACGTCAACAGATTGATTAGTGCCTCTCTGGATGAGTTGTGTGCACACTAGTCTTATACTCTAAATGTTGGTTCAGTTTTCTTCTCTTTTTGTCGCTTATTGGACGTCTTCAATTTTGAAATGATTAACATGCAGCACTGCCAGATATTGAGGTTCCTATTGTCACATTGTCCATAGCATACAAACCATTTTTTTTGACCTGCATGGGTTTCCCAGGCTTTGGCAAACTTCTGTTTTTTTACATTACTGCTTTGCCAACACACTTACAATCAGTGCAATGGGGTGCAGATACTGAGCAGGAAGGACGGAACTTAGAGATGAATCATATTCCTTCTCCGAAGCATGGGTGGGGGAACACTGGCATTCTTTCACCATCAGCCCATCTCTCCCCATCATTATCGGCCCGTATGAATTTAAAGCTTTCAGGAGCATCACCAAATAGGGTGTGTTTACTTCCAGCAATTGAAGTAATCTTATCGCAATTACAAAATAACCATCAGATGAACACTTTTGGACAGAAGTTGGTAGTTAGGCTACTGAATATTATGTGTTATCATGAATTGAGTGCAATGGATTTCTGCGCCATTCCTTCCATCTGAACTGCATCATGATGCAGTTAGTTGTGCCATGCGATGTTTTGATTTCAGGCAGAACCTGTGATCAATAGTTCAAGTTCGACTTCTCAAACTGCGTCTGGTGTCTTGCACGCACATGAGAGTGCCTCTTCATCGGGTCAACTATCTCGACTGCAAGTTTCAGCTAATCCTGAGGAAGCTCAAGAGTACTTGGGAAAGGTGGCAAATTTGTTACTGGAATTCTCTCGTGCTGATACAGCTGTTAAAAAGCACATGTGTAGCACAAGCCTTTTGCAGCGTCTTCTACAGGCGCTGAGTACGTTACAACCACCAGTTCTTACGAAGGTGCAATGTCTTTCTCTTTGCTTCTATAAATCTCATTTTTTCTTGCTATTTTAGATTACTGTTTGTGATTCTTCCAAGTATTCAGCAACATTTTCCCTTGAAACTTGATACATCTACAGATTTTCTTGGTATCACTTATACATTAATGTTACTTTGATCAATTTAGTGATAAATACTGTTTTGTCGGGCTTTAGTTACCGGGCGCGTCAGTGGACGACGGCTCTCACCTTTGAATTGAATGCGAAAAGGAATTTGATAGTGGACTTAGAAATCTACATATCTTAGAAACATCACCACTGAGAATGCTCACTGGATATCAATCAGTTGTCAACTTTCCTTGTTTCCTGATGGCATTTCTATATTGTGCAGATTTTAGAGTGTATCAAGCAGCTATCTCAAGATCCGCACACTCTTGAATATTTACAACGCGCTGAGGCGATGAAGCATTTGATTCCTTTCCTCGAGGCTCGTGATGGACCGTATTTGGACCAAATTCACAACCAGGTATGCAGGTGCATTCATATTGCTATTTTCTGTATCAGCTGGTTGTGCTTTTCATTGTTATCCGCTAGCTAGTCGAAAATGAATACAGCGTGATGCATTTGAAACCAGTCCTCCAAGAACTTGATAATTTTTGTGATAGCTTCGTTGATATGTTTCTTCTTGTTTTAGAAAGTAGAGTTTCTTGGTTGTGTCTATGAAGTCTGCTCCTATAATTACTCGATACTTACATGACCTCTTCGTGCAGGTACTTAATGCCCTGCACAATTTATGCAAAATTAATAAGCGGCGACAAGAGCAGGCAGCTGAGTGTGGCATAATTCCTCATTTGATGTATTTCATAAAGATTAATTCGCCTCTGAAGCAGTTTGCTCTTCCATTATTATGTGATATGGCTCATGCCTCACGGACAACGAGGTATGTTGTTGCTCAGCGCACACAATTTGTTGAATAAGACCGCTTTTCAAACAACCACTTTTGTGGTCTCGTTTTAATATCAGCATCTTTAGGGATAATTTTTTCCCTGTCTTTTTGATCCAATATCTACAGTGAGATATATGAAGGCAAAAAACAGGAACACTTTTTGACATCGGTTTAAAACTTTGGTGTGTGACCAACCACAGGGAGCTGCTACGAAGAAATAGGGGCTTGGAGGTTTATCTGGCTCTACTTGATGATGAGCTTTGGGCAGTGACTGCTCTCGACTCCCTGGCTGTGTGTCTGGCACATGACAATGAGCAGCGGAAGGTGGAACAGGCACTCCTCCAGAAGGAGTCTGTTCAGAGACTCGTTGCCTTCTTTCAGTCATGCGGGGCCCCTTCTTTTGTTCACATTCTTGAACCATTTCTCAAGATCATCAGGTACGTGCATTTGTTCAATCTAATTTAACTCAGTTTTAATGCTCAATTATGAGATATTTTCTTACAAGGAAAAAGTGCCTTTTCAATGAGGTGGAAACCACATTCTTCGGTGCAGCGTATTTGAACAGCTGGGTACTCACCTTCAGAAAGTGCTGGTCGGATTTGATTGAAAATGCATGAGCAATTTGTAACAGTTATATGAATAAATGGCTTGTGTTTCAAAGGTCGTTTCTTGCACTACATGATACCTATTTATAGACAACATGAACCTTTGATGCCTGTGTCGCGGGTTTATTGATATATTTTGTGTGGTTCTGATGCCAGCAAATCGGTTAGGCTGAATTCTGCATTAGCAGTCTCCGGTTTAACACCATTGCTGGTAGCGCGTCTAGAAAATCAAGATGCCATTGCTAGACTCACCCTGCTGAAGCTGATCAGAGTACGCCACCTGAATTTAGAATTCATATTTTAAGCTTAACCAATATTTACGCTTGTAGATATAGTCTTTGGTTTTTTAATATTCTTAGCGCAATTTAATCATGTCCCTGATTTCTGATATTCTTTTCATTCAACTTAAATATGGCAAGGATCAATTTGACCTTACTGAGCAATGTTGATCAGGCTGTTTACGAGCATCACCCTCGGCCTAAGCAACTCATTGTGGAACACGATTTGCCAACCAAGCTTCAAAGACTGATTGAAGAACGTCGCGATGGCGAACGTTCAGGAGGTCAAGTGCTGGTAAAGCAGATGGCTATGGCTCTTTTGAATGCTTTGCATATCAACACTGTGCTATAGAGCTTCTCCCAGGTTGTAGAACATTCCATAGACCCTCCTTTGAGGGCCTTGGGTATCCCTTCTGTGGACGTGTACCATGCAGTTACAATCATCAAAGTAAGAAACCTTACCGTAACTGACTCTGGATCTTTATTTTACTTTCATGTGAAAGGTGAAGTACATGCAAACCTAAACATCTCATTCAGCAAAGTGAACATTGGTTTAAATGGAACTGGTTTGCCAGCCCATGTTGGTGTGTAATGTTAGTTTCTACGCTTGAATGCTTAAGATTTCAGTTGGTTAATTAATCGTGCTTAAAATTTGTATTACGATGCGATATGAGCTACCCCAACCCTTCTCTCCGAATTCTCTCATGTTCGTACATTACGAGGAAGTAGTACTTTGTGATTATGCTGCACCAGTCCATTGGTTCGGCTTAGTGGATATTATAATTGCATTGTGAAATAGTTTTCAATAGTCGATGCTTATGGTGTGAAGGTATGTAGTATTTTTCAATATTTTGTAATTTTGAAGGAGTTCTTTGGATGTTGGCATATGGGCAGTATGGATTTGGTATTTATAAAGCTTTGAGGGAATAGTGTTTTTTTTATAAAAGTAAATTTAAATATTATTCAATTTTATTTGGTAGATTCATTGGTGAATTAGTTAATTTAGTTTAATTTCTATATGCTCTTATCTTGAATATTTTATAAGTAATTAAACATATTGATCAACTCTTGCTCCAAGCATCTTAGTTTTATTAAAATTTTCTTCAATAGATTTGTTCTTTCTTGGTTTTTATCATTTTCAAAATAATAATTTATAAATAATTTTAGTGAAATTTAAATTAATAATTAAAAAACACAATGTAGTTTATGCATCAATCAATATCATGTAGATTTTACAATAAGAAAATTGGTATGTGCTTGTGTATGTATTACTATTTTGGAAACTAATAAATGATATTTAGTGTATTGTCTTTTAAATCTTTTGCTTATTTTTCACTAAAAGTTTTTTTAGAATTCATACATTCTATAATTTCAAATGTCTATCTCATTGGATTTTGGTACTTTTGTTTGTTTTTTTAAATAGAAATAGGTAAATTTCACAAGAAGTTGGTACAAAAAATTAAATTAGTACATGTAGAAGTTGTAGATGGTCAACTTTTATCTTTGATAAAGAAAAACAGAGATCTTTGTAAAAGTATATGGATTATTTTATGTTCAACATATTGACTACAAAAAATTATTGTTCTTTGTATTTGATATTAAGGTCTTTTGACTAATTGAATGAAGCTAAAATTTATGTTAAAATAGATTGACAAAGTACTTAAATATAATACAACTTAAATAAAGGAATTACACTTTTAATAAGGTATGAATATTTTAAATATAATGCCATATCTATTAGACTCTTTAATGCTTCACTTGATTTATAGCATTTGATTAACAAGGTGTTCTATAAATTTCTAAATATTTTTTTGTTTATTCTTTAAATAATACTTTATTTATTAAAAAGAAGATTGTTAAATCAACTCAAGCAAATACTACATTGATCTATCTATCATCATTGGTTGTAGATCTAACCATTTTTTCATTAGTTTTCAACCAATGCGGATTTGACAAAGGAGAATTTTTTGATGATGGTTAGGATGGGTGGATTGATTTAATAAATGCTTAGGTCAATTTAACAATTTTCATTAAAAAATATGAGAAAATATGAATTTTTTTTTGCTTCATATTATAAAAACTTATAGTTGTAGGACTATATTCTAAGATATAAAAACATTAATTTTATATAATTTAAGTATAGTTTTTGTAATGTTTTTATTCAAATAATAGTTCATAAATAGATTTTAAGAAGGTAAAACTATTATAGACATGAAAACTCTATGAATTATACATAATATTTAGTATTTTTAAAATTTAGAAATTATTATCAAATATCCATTAAAACTTTCTTCCAACTTTTTATTCTACTTATAAAATTAACTTTCAAAACCAAAATGAAGTAGAATAAAGATGTGTAAATTTGAAGATTTAAAAATAATTTTCATGTTAGCTAATATTTTATGATTTTAAGGTTTTTTAAAGCCATTTTGTTTCAGAATTGATGTATTAAAAATTTCTTTAGGTGTAATATTATAAAAAATGCATACACATTATATACTTCATTATGTTGTATTTTATTTAAGAAAATTCTCAAGAGTTAAGTTCAATTATAAAACTGGTAGTAAAGAATTTCATGTTGCAATGAATTTATTTCATATATGGCTTTGATATCTAAAAGGCTCTTTTAATCCAATTTTAGATTATATCAATCACAAGAAAATCAAGTATTTTGTGTGAGTACATGTTTAAATTTTTATTAAGTAATTTAAAACATATCTTTGTGATAATTGTATTTAATATTACATATCATCTTAGAAAATGTTATGGCTTTTTCAAATTATATTTTCTTGCACCAAAAGAAAAGAATGCTACATATAATTAACATTATATTATCTTTTTAAAATTAGAACCATTACAACCTTGAGTTTAAATGTCATTAATTCTAACTATTACTATATTTTTTGATGGAGTTTGTTAAAGTACGCTATTAAATCATTTTTTTTAGATATTAAAAATATTTCTAAAAAACTAAAATTAATTAATTTTTAAACAACCTTCTCTATTATAAAAGATAGTTACATATTTTAAAAAATTAAATATAGTTACGTATACTTCAAGCACAATATAACTTCCTCATAACATGAGATTTTGGATATCTAAATATTTTGGAATTTATTTCAAGAGGCTCTTGATGGCATCATATAAATAAGTACTAAATCATTATTTTAATCTTATAATACTTGCTCTTGAAAAAATATTCTATGCCACCAAATGTGTGAAAATTTTCAACATTTATTTATTCTAAAACACTCATGAATGTTTATTTCAATAAATTTTATTACTAATCTTCTAATTCCAAATTCTTATGATTTTATTTTTGAAATAGTGGATTATAAAAAAAAGAATAGCATATTTTTACTTTATATAAAAATATTATTGATAAAGAAACCTTAAAGAAGTTACATAGATATGGAATATATCTTTAGCAATAACCATTGTATTTTTTTATTTTTTTTATATATAATATCTAATCTTTCTTTCATTATGTTTATATTTTTTCTTATTATTTATTTTTTCAATTATAGATGAATGTATTCTCTTTTGACTAGATTCATATCCTTGATATTGTTATTTTTTATATTTATAATTCTTGTAGTAAAGTTGGAATACATGAAAATACTTCATTTGTAGAATATAAAGAGTTTGGATGTAAATTTAGTATTGGCTTTAGAATTGACTAAAAATATGACATCTATTTGTTTTTCAAAAGTTCTTATTTCTTTATTGATTTCAGATATTTGTTTGAAGGATTAGGATTCAGTAGAATTATTTTAACATAATCATATTAAATGTATTTAAAAATAAAAATAAAAATATTAAAAAACTTATATTAATAGTATATTATTAATTATGTTAAATAATTAATAGATTAATTTATCAAATCTGGCAAGGAGAAACTTAATACTTTGTCAAATCCAATAAAGTTATTCATAATATTCAATCAAATCTTACAAATATACTCTTTAATAAAGAAAAGAAATTAAAATATAGAAATCTTTGGCCAAAAAATACCAAGAAATGATTTGAATTAAGAATTGATTAACCATTACTGAAATAATAAATATAAAAATCATAATATTTAATAATAATAATAATAAAATAAATATAATAAATAATATTAGAAGTTTAAGATATAAAATATAGAATTTAAAATACCAAAATAACATCTTTTTCACTAAAATTTATAAAAAAATAAAAAGTAAAAATAAGAATCTTGCCTTGAGACTAGTTTAAATATTAAAAATAAAATACATAATATAAATATATATATTTTAAAATTTTAGAATTTAAAATTTTAGAATAAAATAATATTCTAAAAGTTTTTGATAATTTTTAATTAACTCAATTTCTTTTCTTTAATATTTATATTTCTAATGGTTTAGTTGTGAATTTCAAATTGTGTTATTAGTTTAGAAAAAATAAGATTTTATAAGACATAAAAAAACCCATTTTTCATAAATAATTTTTAATTTAGTCTTTTTTACACTATAAACACAAAAAAAATGATTTGAATTGATTTCCTATATATTTGACATAGAATAGTTAGTTTAGAATTGAATGTGTCTATACATGACATTAAAAAATTAAATTAAAGTTCCTTATGTTCGTAAAAATTTAAGACTTACAATTAAATATTACAAGAATATTCCAAAGAATTTTTAGGTGTTTTTTTTTTTTTTTAAGTTTTCAATTGACTTACCTTTCTATGCTTGCAATTCTAATGGTATGATAAAGAGCATGGATTATGTAGATGCCTAATTGTTTTGTATTTATTTTTTATTTTTTGTTAGATCTAAGTATTTTTTTTAGATAAATGAATATAAAATATATGTTTTAAAGAATCTAAGTAGATAGGTGGATAAAAACAAGACATAATATAATATAATATGATTTAACATTTATAAGTTTTATAGAACCAAAAGAAGAACCAAAACTTGAATCAGTGAGAATTTTAGGTCATTCTCTCTTATCATTGTTAAAATAAATTTTCCCAAATTTTAGAAAAAAAATGTATTTTTGAATGTTAATAATTCTAAAAATAACATTTAAAATAATTTTATAAATCTGATTTAAAACCTTTAGATTCTCAAAAGAGATGAAGTATGATTAGGATCATCTTGAAGTTATTACATATATATATATATATATAGATATATATCTATAGCAACAAAATTTACATAAGAATTATTAAATTTCTAATAAAATAATAGAGAGGAATCACAATAATCAACATTATGCTAAACATAACATATAATAGAATAAGTAGGTCTTAAACTACCAAACTATAATTTTTTTTATCATAATCATCATGAATATAGAATCTTCCTATTCTCTCATTTTTACTAGTAAAAAATTACTAATAATATATCTCAAGAGTAGTAAGATTATTTTTATAATATAAATATCAATTAAAATTAATAAAAATTACAACTAAAGTAATAAGGAAGAAATAAAGAAATAAATAAACACTATGTAACTCCCAAGTTATATATATGCATGTATATATATATATATATATATATATATATATATTATTTGTAGTTGTTATTAAATCTATATACTTATTTAATACAAATTATAACATGTTAATGATGTCCATTATTCTAGTTGGTATGTTTTTTAAGAGGATCATATAAATAATCTTATTGTCCTTTAGACATATTATTATTGATTTTGTACTAGCATGGATCAGAGAATAAAAATCTTCTAAATAATCTAGAAATGTCAATTTTAAAAAACTATGTTATGACATTGTGTTTTAAATTTAATACACACTTCATTAGTTTATTCAAAATAATTTTTGGTATTAAAATTTAATAAAATTATAAAACTAAAAGCACCATCAATTTCAATTAGACACTCTTGCATATCATTTACAAATGATATAATATGGTAATTAAGACATGCAATAAACATTTTAACTTGTAATTCAATTTGGTAAAAATTGGATAGAATATTTTTTATGATACGGTGCCAAGAATTCATTTGAATCAATATGGAGCACAACTATAATCTCAAAGACTAAGATGGAAGTAACTTTCGAAAGGCACAATACAAATATTGCTAATTACAATATCTTGCAAGCATTTATATTTAAAAAAGAATAATAAATCCATCTACATTCAGCATTGTTTGCATGGTAGTCACCTGCCCATGTGCATATTTACAACAATGACTTTAACTATTACATTCACAGTCTACAAAGAAGAGGAAATCATAGGAACGAACCCTTGGTTTGCTGCAAACTTAAGACATGCGCGCCCATCTGTGGTATATCCAAAGCACAAGCCTACTAACATTCTGGTCCCTGTCCCACATCGCTCATCAACAAAACCTCGGCCAACGATAGAAACTAATGCTAATAAATGAAAGGCAATGTCCACACATGCAAAGGCTGGGGCTTGCATGTGCACGCTCACACGGTGATGAGTAAGAATCTGCAGCTAGAGTTCAGGTTGTAGCATTTGTAAGGGCTGCACAATACAAGCAGTCCACCCTCTCTACTACTACTATAATGATAAGTCCCCGCACTGTTGAAAGCTTCAGTCTTTCTCTCAGGAAGCATTTACAGAAGGTCTTGCCACAACCTTAAACAATTAAGCACCTCTGTACAGTAACTGAAACACACTCCGACTTCATGCATTGGAAGCAGCTCAGCATTCTAAGGACTTTCTGTTGCTCCCCAATCCAATACGAACGTGACCAGGTCTAGGTTTTAGGGTAAGCACGTGTAACCTCGCGGTGTGATAACTAACTCCACCACACAGCAAGTCACAGTCCGATCCCGCTCGGATCATTGTGATAGTCTTAGAGTTGGTTAAGTTTGATTAATCATTGCCTGTCCAACTCTTGCTTGGATGCCAGCTACAGCATCACCTGGACCCAGTCTGTTGCCACCATCAGCTCCCATCCATCAGATCATTTGCCAAGTCCTGAAGTGCTGGGAGAATTAACTTCAGCATAGCCGTCTCGGCAGCAAATCCATGCAACTGGAGACACCAGTTGCCGGGAACAGACTGGGACACGGACCATCGAAATCTGTGGGCTGAGGAGCATCAGGCGGAACGAGATTGGGGGTGTGGAAAGAAGTCTGACCAAAAACATTGTCGTCCTTATCGTACTGGGAATGAATCCCCTCCTACTAACTGGGCCCATGAAATGAATTGTTTCCGCTCACGCAAGGGCAGAAAATCATCATTGTCATCGATCAATTGTACATGCCGCCAATGTTAAGGTCGGGGGCCGTCGTACCACATAATTTTGTATCAACACTTGCCATATGTGGGACTGTTGCGCTAATGCTAGAACCCACCTCCCTGCTATTGGTTGCAGACAGGGTAATTGCCAAAGGCACTGAGTCAGTGCCCGTGTCCTCCCTCCGTCCAGTACTTGGAATGGCTGCAGTGGCCAACCTGTTGCAATGGCACCATTACCCATCTGCTCGTCTGCTACCCCTCTAAGCTGTCACTCTTGCCCTCTTTCATTCGTTCCATGAGTGCGAGAAAATGGGGCCGGACCCCATGTGCCCACCCATACTCAAGTTGGACCGCTCCGTCAGCCCCTGTACTGTCGTGGAATTGCTGCCGATCCACGGCGACAAGGAGCTGCTCTCTACATAGTTCGCCATCTTCCCTTGTGATCCCGACCCTGGCGACAAGTACAAAATTCCGCTCCGCGATAGGTCTCCCTGCAAGACGGGATCGTACCCCGAGCTTTTCGAGCTCGCTTCCTCGCTCTCATCCACCGAATTCTTCGGGCTATCCACTGCTCCCCTGTCGAGGCTCCCCTGCTGCTGCTGCTGCTGCTGCTGCTGTGGGTAGGCCGAGTTGCTCATTGGTGGCGAGTTCAAAGCCCTACCATCGCCGTCCTGGTACACGCCCGAGCTCCCGCCCTGGAAACCCGACGAGCTGATCATGCTACTGGAGCTTTGCATTCCGTGGCCCATCAGCGCCTGGTTAGCCGAACAGGAGCTCTCACCGGCTCCTGCATTACGATCCTGCGGGAGTGCTTCCAATCCCATCAAGTTCCGCAGCGACGTCCCGTTCGTGGGGGCTGGGAACTTCGATTGCGTACTGGGAGCTCGCATCGAATCCACGCCAAATCCCAACCAGCCTTGCTGGCTATCACCCTGCGGACATGATCCCCAGCTGTTTCTGGCCTGTTGCTGATACAACATCTGCCACTCGTGGGGGTTTTTGGACATCCCACTTTGACCAGACAGCACCTCACTGGTCATCTGACTCCCTGGTGTGCCGGTAGAATGCGTACACATCTGCTGGTCTTCGTCGATCTGGCTGTGCCTGATCATTTGAGCTGCCTGGGTCTGACCTCGGGACTGCAAAGGCGTCGAGATCATAGTTGTCGACAATTCAGTTTCCTTCGCCGCTTTCATTGCCCCTAGCCCGTGGTTGACATTCAACGAACCCTGCTGAATCCTTGCAGCATTGTAACGAGACATGTCGAAGTTTGTGACGGCATTGATTCCACGGAATTTTATCGCGGCAATGTCGTAGGCCTCTGCTGCTTCCTCTTGTGTGCCTGAGTCATACAAAGCCAGTTCATTTTAACCATTAGGTAACATGGGCACCCTGCGAAATCCTTTCAACATTGCAACGAGACCCAGAATATGCTGATGTCTCCGGAATCGATATCAGAAGTCCTATCAGGAGAAACGACCAGGATTTGCAGCGAGGGTAATCCACTAATGTTTACAAATTCATGTGAAACCGGCACTCACTGTAAGTGCCCAGGTAAAGGTCCTTGTTTCCCGCGACTCGCCCAATGCGTGCTTGCCATCGCCCATGCTGATGGTGTCTCGTCACCCCTCGATACATGGATGCTCCTCTCGAAAAGCCACTGCTTTTCCTGTCCACGTCAAGTTGCGACAACGGTTCCATCATGTCAAAGAATGTTCAATTCATCATCACATGCTGCCATGGAGGACTGAAAGCGTAACACCATCAATTCAAAGTTGCGAGGGCATTGCCATGTAAACGCAATCTCTCACAGTCTGTCTCTGTACTGATGAAAACCCTTGTGGACGAATATCACGACCACGTCGACCGCAACCATACTATCAGGAGATTTTTGGAGGATTGTACCTCCTCAACGAGGCCACATACTCCTGCCGAGACATGTTCTTCATCTCCTCCAGCTCTTTTTCATATGTACCAAGCTGTCGCACAACATTCCACCATTCCACGTGCATGAGGCACCGTTCCTCAGAACTGCTAAGCTCAGAGCATCACGCTCGCCACATGCCTTGGCGTCAAGCTCAGAATACTTGTGGACACATTAATTAGCGGCAGAATGACATGACGGCACACGATTCATGACTTACCGGAAAGTTGATGGTGGTGCTGGGACCCCAGTATTTGAGCGCTGCCAAGTCGTAGGCTCTGGCTGCCTTTTCTTCTTTATCATATCCTCCTAAGTATACTGCGCAGCACGTGACAGTGCCCAAACACATTAGATCGTGAGATGCTGCGTATACAACCTTCACCACATAGCAATCATCGCCTGATCATCCAATGACTGTTCTAGCTCAAACTTTCAGCAGACTGTTCTTTGAACTTCACAACGGCTCAGAAGGAAGCACATGGAGAGGGTTCTGTGCTTCAAGTCCCTCCAGTCATACCTTGTCGACCTTTGCGAGTTTGACCTTCCTTTCTACAAGTATTGTCCCACAGATGAGCCTCGTACCGTCCAGTCCAACGATGCCTACAAATCAACACACAATACACCCCCCAACATCCTCAGACCAGGATATGACCCTCAACAACTTCGACCTTCGCCAGGCTAAAATTTAGCTCTCTGCGCCCCTGTCACATCGATTGAATTCATCTGTTGGTGGGGCTGTTGCATAGCATCCACCCTGGCCCATCTGGTGCGTCCAATTGAAAAACAATTGGACGCATACCCATTAACATGTGTGCACAACGGAGAGTTCACAAACATGTGATCGAACTGAACTTGCTGAGGTTAATATACAGATCACATCAGCAACAACCCACCAAGTAATCCAGATGCTTATGCACACCCACCTAGTGACGCCTCTGAACACAGATGTTCTCTGACCGAAGGTATCGATGGACTTGCGGGGGGATGGCTCCTTCCTGCCAGAACGCCCGGCGCCGCGCTTGCGAGGCTCGGCCACGGCAGTGCAATCGGTGGTTAAGAATAATCCGGCGGTTTGGACTGCGTTAGAGATGTTGGTCTCATGGGAGCCGGAGCTCATGGACAGAGTTAGAGGTTGCAGACTGGCCAAGCCGTCGAGTTTCCTCTTATCAACGGCCGCTTGATGTCTTAGCCACATTTTCAATTTATAGTCCTCGCTCCCTGTGTTCAGTGAACCTCCTGAAGGAGACTGTAAGGCACAATCGGACAGCAACTCCGCTGTCGCAGATTGATCCAGCGTCGCTTGAAGAAGGTTCTGCGGGTGCAACCTGGTTCCTGGCAGCAAATTGCCCTCCTGGAACTCTAGCTGCGCACGAGTATTTGGGTGTTCGTAGTTGTGCGGATTGGAGAGGCAGGATTGATCGGGAGCCCTACCGTAAGAAACTTGAAACGACGGCGGGACGTCGTGGAGAGTATCACTGCGTGGTTGCGATAAGTACGGCAAGTTCACGTTGATACGCGACTGGGCGTCGCGGGTGAAGGTTGAGCCCGGGGCTCCGACGTTGTAGTACATGGAGTCTAACTGCTGTTGCTGCGATTCACGGTTCGAATACTGCCCGCCCAAGGAGGATCCGCCCAAAAAATCCTCCAGCTTCGGATCCTCGCGGGTCTCCACTGCGTTATTCTGCATGTCATAGTGGGACTGGGAACTCGTCATCTGCTGGTCACCTACACCTCTCTTTCCCGCGGACCGCAGCAGCTGATCGGCCGTGACAAGGGCGTGCTGGTGGATTCCGCCATCCAACTGCATTGCGCGCGTCTGCGGCCAATGGTCTGCAGTCCAGCCAAGGGGACCATCACAACGCTTAATCATCAGCCTTATCGGAGCAAACGCAGACGTTAGCATCTGTGCCATCTCCAGATTATCTATACCGCGTCGAAACTATACTTACACATTCAAGTCTGACCTAGTCAAAGTGGATGCGTCATATTCTTCGCAGTGAAACTCGAATACTCTCGAACAGTTTTCGAAGACTCGGAAGATCACCTCAGCCTGGGTTCGCGCACTAGCCTGAAAGGAGGATTTACAGGTGCAAGCCTAGAAGTCGGACACGTCTTACAAGTCGCTAAAGCACATCTTGAGTGTGGTGTAGCTATCTTGATACAAATGAGTCACTAGCCACTCAAATATCGATCAAAATGGCAATGAACTGGAGGTTCTACGGGCTTCAGATAGGGCTTCCGCGTCACTGAGACTCCTTAACCCTCCCCCTCCCACAATTCCATCGTGAAGCTGCAAGCGGAAGATCTGCATAAATCTTTCTAACCACTTCTACAGATCGTCACACTCACCAAGATTGTCTACCTACGATTGTAGCACAAATTACTCCTCCTGAAGTGACACTACGATACAAAGCTGACGACACCAGAGCTACGTCAAACCGCAAATCGACATTGTAGTAGCCCTCAAACTGCGTAGCTCAGGATGACCAAGGATAATTAGAAAGGAGAGGATATACAAGTGTATCATTCTCTTTATCACGCCGTCCACTAGCATTGAACTCGTCTCCAAAATAAAACATTTGTTAAATACTCCAAGTCTAGAAGGGCCCACTTCCTTTATTTACTTTCCGGATTGAATGTTCAAAGATCCCATCGTTGACTTTGTCAATACCCTAAAAGGACTACGGGAATAGGTCTCTCCTACTCCAAAGTGATATGCATAAGCAATCAGTTAGTGTTGTATACGTCACGCACACATCCCAAGTAATGAGCTCTCTGAAATTTCATGTAAATATATATATATATATATATATACATATATGTAAATGAATTAAAGCACTACCTCAACTGTAGTATGGGGATCAACGTTGGAGAGCAGCATCGTTTCCAATCGACCTACAACAGGCGGGGGACCAGTTGTGTTTCCTAAGGAGTCAAAAATTATCGTTAAGTTGTGAAGCTCCAGCTTCTCACTCAATTCGAGAAGTTGCTAAAACGGATCATCGTGAGAGACTGAGGCTTTTTTCAAGTACCTCTGCATATTCGTCCCAAAAATTACGCATACAGGGATCTGTTGAGGGTTGACTTTCAGTGACTGCTAATATGGATACCGACCATGATGGCGTCGCCTTGGAACTATTCTAGAATGGCGTTATGCTAATACGATGCAACAGATCAAAGTCTGAGTTACTACCCGCTTTCTCCCGATTACGAAATTGTTCTTCAGAGCTGAATGAAGAACCCAAGGTGAAATAAAAGTGATGTAGAAGAACATCTACGGAAAAGACCAATGCAGAAGGAATTCTTTCATGCATAAGTGATTTATTGAGTTACCACAATCAAAAGAAGTCGAATTCGCTCGGTAAAGGAAAACCTTGGAAACTTTTAAATCGGAGTTCGGAAAAGTTTAAGATCTAACCTGTACTGGGCGACATGCGGAGGGCCTCCATAATGCTAAGGGACCCTTCTGACCCCATCATCTCCATATCGTGGCCAGAATTTTTGTTTCTACCATCGCCGTTGTTACGAAGAGAATTGTAACAATCGTTCACCGAGTTTTGAAAACCGCCTAAGTTGCTGCTGTGGATCTGAGACATACTTGGCAAAATCAGGCTATTGAACTACCAGCCCGGTGGATGACGGGATCAGCCTGCTGTTTCAGGGCGTCAAGTGCAAAATGAAGAGATTGTGGGGTGAACGTGAGCCAGTTGTTCATAACTTGACGAATTCACCTTTCTTACTTTGTGATTGCCAGGAACTCCACGTCATTCATCTGCAACCAGTGCAAACAAAACTCGATGGTTCCGCACCAGGCCTTGAATCCCTGGATTGTGGTATTTTCGAATCAATCTCCTGCAAGCTGAAACGTCTGCGACTTGATGAAGGGAGAGACGCGTCTCACTCACACTGGAAGTTTCCTGGACAAGTTGTGGAAGAACTAGGTGGATTATTTCCCTTGGGTAACAATCTTGTCTAAAGCCTGGCATACTCACGGAGACTGTGTGATCTCATGTAATCAACCGCAGTTCCCACAATAATTAGATAGTGCATATACTGCATGTAAATCTCAAACTTATTGGCCTGCACATGCCAACGCTTCAAGAACTATCCCATCAAGCTCTTCCACGAGGTTTGTTCAGGAACATGAGAAGAGTGATGTTCATCCTGTTATTCTTCGTTACCCTCGTCTGCACGGTCCATGCTACGATGGATGACAATATCCCAAGCCTTCAGTGTCGCAATCGTCAACACACCCTACTGACTGAGCATGAACTACTATGAACGCGCTTCAGCTGCCATGCTGATACTACTCCTTGTCTTCTTGGAAATAGAAAATGTCCTGATGATGTTTTATCATGTACCACAACCTCCTGCAACCATTAAACAGCCGCCGCCTGAACCCTCAGATCCCTGCTTCGATCCCTGGGTTTCAATAGTACTGTCTTGGGTAGGATCTTAGCCACTGACATCGGGTGTTCCAGTCACTTCGCCATCACACCTTATATCCTCGTCTCCACGAGCGTGCTCTCGCTCTCTCTTTCTCTGAATTGCTACGCTCTGGACCCTGGCCGACATTTCAAGCTCCTTATTGACTGATTACGTAGATTATTCGCAGTCCCTAAGAGCGTGGACAGACACTAGTAATACACAGCTCGATTCCCCCCTGTGCAATTGAATTCCAGATCAGGTGCTCGTGTACAGCAGCGCAAAAGATCTTTTCTAGGTCGAAGGTGGCACTTTAACGCCACCACTCTAAACCAGCAAGACATGGCTGGCGACCAACTTAAATGCTCGAGGTAAAATCACAAACTATGACAACTTACTGCCCCAGTTAATGGGAGTGCTACCGTGGCAGCCGGCTAATGCTTGATGCAGTCTACACTAAGTCGCGGCGGAGGAGAATATGGAATGGGACATAAACAAGGTGCAGGGCGGTGCAACTTGGAACGAGACTTGCAGCAGAAGAAGAAGAAGCAGAAGAAGAAGAAAGAAGAGGATAAGGAAGCGTTGCTTCAGTCTTGTAACCCGAGGCTAGAATCTGACTGTTTTTAGACAGCACCACCTGGATCGGCTGGCCTACAAAACCACTGCTGCAACGACGACGAAAACTCCCTCAGCAGACAAAAAACTTATATATATATATATATATATATCAAGTTAACTAAAGGAAATTAACAAACAACCCCCTTAGCAAGTGCTCAGGCTGGTCTGGACTCTTCACTCTCTCTCTCACATCCACCGCCTGTTCCCTGTTTCTCTATCTTAGGCCATCGTTAGCTACTGGTGCCAGGATTCCTTTTTAACTTGTCATCCAGGAATTGATTCGATGAGATCACTCTCTGGACTTTCTGCCACCCAGCCCCCACTAATCTGCAGACTAAGAGATGTTCAGCTTTGATTGAGTGCATAATTAGACGATCCCTGTTCCATGTTAATATCAAATATTACACATCACTTTTCTTGCAGCATGGGTCAACTTTGTTCTTCATTAACGCCCTTGCTTGAATACTTGTGTGCTTTCAATGTCTTTCAAGTCTAACTTATCCACAATGCGTGGTTTTTCCAAATACATTGTTTCTTGCTTTTCTTGTAGAATAGTGGTCATGTGATGAAAACAAGAAACCACCTTTTTGTGATGTTGATCATTATAATACAACATTGTAAATGAAATCATATTACTTTCTTGAATACTATTGATTCTTTCACAAGTAGTAAATCTAATATTTTGGCTATGATTCTTCACTTGTGTATCTATTAAATTCTGATAATCATGTCAGGTTTATGGTTTCTTTTTTGAATTCTATAAATTGGAAAAAGAAAAAATAAAGAAAAATAGCAGTCATATCTCTTGAATTTTTATGATTTATTATTTTCTTATTTTATTCTATTTTTTCTTTATTTCTCAAATAATTTTAATACCAATCTTAGAATAATAATTTCAAAATTTTAAAATATGCTGTAAAAAATAAAATATTTTTGTTATGTGTCTCTCTCTCTCTCTCTCTCTCTCTCTCTCTCTGTGTATATATATATATATATATATACATACGACAAGATGTTATGAATTGATTTCTGTTCTTTTAAATCATAATTATGCATATCAAGTTGTAAATTTATATTTTAAGGTTAAGTGCATATATAAACACTTAATTTACAACATTTGTAAAAAAAAATAGTATGTTGATAACATACTCAAATTCTTTCAAATTCTTTCTGAACTTTCTTATGCACTAATCTCTCTTGTTGTATTCTCAAAAAAGTGAGAGAGGCAAATTTGTACTTCTTGTAAATCTTTGGTGGAAAATTTTAAATACAATTTGAGAGCTAAATGTTGACTCTTAAGATATTTTTTTGAATGTATTGTATGTAAAGTAAGACATTAGAAGTAGAAAAAATATTTTCAATAGCATTTATTAATGCCAAATCTTGATCAGATCCAACTCAGATGGGTTGGATATTTCTATACAACTCATCAAGTTGGATCAAGGCCCAACAAAAGAACAATTTTGTTTCTTCTTGAAAAATAAAAAACAACAATTGTGAAAGAGGTATTAAAATTGGTTATTCCCACTACATACAACAAAGGAAGCTTGAATTAAATTTTTTTATATGTACAATCCATAGCAAAAGAAGAGATTTTTTTTGTTAATTAAATATATTTAGCATGTACAAAAATAAATAAATAAATAAATAAATAATTACCTTGTTCTTATCATTACATTGATAAGTAAACTAATACTTATTGTCACCCAAAGTTTTCATAAGTGAGAAAATGGAAGCACATCCGTAAATAGTGATTTTACACTGTTGTTGGTGTTCATTGTAAATATTACATGCAATAACTTGACTTTTAGGATTTCTCTTATGTAGGGCAATTACAATGTTTTTTTGGTGGTACTCCATTTGCAAGCATCCAAGCCGTCATAGATACCAATTAATCGGCTTAAGGTATTTTGTTGACAAGTGAAATTATTTTGCTCAATATAAATATCATGATCCATGTTAGACCATTGCTTGCAAATGAAATAACCCTAAGTATAAGCAAACTCATCTATACTCTCTTTTATGTCTTTAAAAGAATCAAAAGTCCCCTCCAATACAAGAGACATATTCAACATTTAAAAAAAAAACGCTTAAGTTTTGTCAAAATGATTTTTCAACCTCATGTTTTTTAAATATTTATTGATACAATTATATACATGAAATAGCTTTATGAAAATTAATGAATACTATTTTTAATTCAATTTTTAAATCAATGTGAATTAAATAAGTTTTTTTTTTTTTTTTTTTTTTTGTAATTATTCTTCGTTTTTTTCTTCTATTCCCTGCCTTTTGATATTTTTTCCTTTCCAGGCCCAAAGACGTTCATCCATATGAATGTAAGACTGGGAGGCGGCGCTTTCATCCGTATGGCCCATTCTTCAAGTGGCAGCCCTGGAGTCGGGAACGGTCAGCCATGGACGGCAGTCCTTTTGAAAAGTTCCAAGCCAGCCCCAAAACTAGGGCAGATGAATCAGTAGACCAGGGCAGCCCTTGAAAAGTTCAAGGGAACCCCATAACAATAATAATCAGAAGAGAAGGAATCCCCCCCCCGCCCCACCAAGTAGGCTCCGTGACCTATTCCCGTCCTAGGATGGATGGATGATGTTCTGATCCATTCTGTTCTCCAGTTCACGTTCCCCGGCACTGTTCCCCTCCCTGGGTGGAGGGATTCTTTTGGCTCATCTGCTGGTTTGCATGCCAATCAATCCTCATTCATCGACGGAGTCCCCCCACCCAGACCCAGTCCGACGCACCTAGTCAGTCATCCATGAGCACACTGTTCATCCATACGATGTACATTCATCTAGTATTCGGCAAGCAAGCTAGCAAGAGTCTACTCCGATATTGGGTAAATATCGGACCGATATTGGGTCCCAGTTGGGGGGGGGTGGCGCATCCTTGCACGGGTGGCTAGGGACCGGGTCTCTATCCAATAGCACCTATTGGTCCCCTTGGGGGGGGGGGCGGGACCCGTCCAAAATTTGAAGAGAGAAAGAGGGAGAGAGGCCCATTCCATTTCCATTGTATTTCATTCTATTCTATTCTATTGGATTCCATTCCATGCCTTAGATGCTGACCGACTTTCCTTTCTCTATCCCCTTTCTTAGGGGCCCCTCAATGGAGATCCTTGAAGAAGAAGAACAGGAATTAGGACACAAAATTTATATTTATATATCAAATGGGTCCATGTTTTGGTGATTGAGTTGGGAGTCTTATCTTTGATTGAATCCACTCTCCTCACATTTTGTGACCCCCCCCCTTCCAAATCTTTCTTATCTTCACCTATCAACATTTCCTTTCAATCGTTTGTTTGTTCATTCAATATTTATAGGTGTATATTTAAATTAATATGAAGCCCTTTATAACCATTTTTGAAATTAGAATTTGAATGAAGATTAGTTGGAATTGTCTTTGTTGGAACTTAGATTGGTTTGTAATTTGGCATCAAAGAGAATGACTTGAAAATAAAAATAAAAAATGAATGGTTACAATGATGATGATAATGATGATGATAAGATATATATACACACACACATACATTTATAAGAATTAAAATTTTACCTATGGTTAGAAATTAAATTTTTCGACATATAACTTTTGGTTGTTACAAGTTTTTAAAACTAATCAAAAAAATATATTAATTCTTAAAGCATTTAAATAAATAAAAAAATGATAATTTCAATAAAATTTATTTTTTTTATTAAATATAAATTGATATTGTATGTTTATTTATGCTGAAAATAAGTAAAATAAAATATCATATTCACATTAAAAAAAATTATATAATAATTAAAATATATATACATAGTAATGTTATTTTGGCTTTTATTTATATTATAAATTTTAACAATTAATTTTGAAGATTTTTATGGTGATTGAAGAATGATTTAATATATTATACATGGATTTTAACATTTAAATTATATTTTATAATTATTTTATAAATTTTTAATATATCCGATCATTTAGCATTATATTAAAGGAATTATTAAAGCCACATCCCTCTTTATCATCTCATGATTGATTTTGTCTCTATCCCTCATTTCCATCTATGTCTCTCATATCCAACCCTTCCATTCTTAGCTCCCCCTCTTCCTTCCATTTATATCCTTCACTCCAACCTCCTTGTTTCCATCTCTTGGTCTAGTCCTTTCTCCTCTTGTTTATATCCTCCATTTTCAACCCACTCATTCATATTCCTTGATCTCAACTCTCTTGTTCATATTCCTTGATCTCAACCCTCTTGTTCATGTTCCTTGTTTCTAGTCCTCTTGTTCTTGTCCCTTGTTCCTAGCCTCTCCTTCCAATTCATGTTTTAAGTATAGGATGGGCTCCGCTTTACACCCCCTCCCTCTTTCTTCATCCATTTGCAAAACACAATGTCGAAGGAAGCACCATCACTACCTTGTATATAATTGAATTGTGCACATTAGGTATCATCCTAGTTCATAGAGAATGGTTGGCTATTGGAGCTAGAAAGATAAATTTGACTCCAACAACAAGTCTTCATGCATGAAAATTTGTTCTCCTAGTATTCCAAATGGGACATGTTTAATAGTTGCATAGAATTGTTGAGTAGCATATGAGACAATTCAAAACCTAATTGGATTTTATCTAAAACTTGAGGAAGCATATGTTTCTAAAATACAATAGAAACACAAGTTTTGGATTGCCTACTATAATAATCTTTAAGACAAAGAGAAAAAATAGTAATTGATTGGAGGTATTGGCTACATCCTAGAAGAAGTATGAGAAGTAGATGCAAATACTAGAAATGCAAAATATTGAGGCTTAGAAGAGGCTATGATGAAATTAAACATTGGCTTTTTTTTGTCTTTTTCTTTTTCTCTCTCTTCCTTCCAATAGAGTCCATTTCAAATTAGAAACAAGAATGGAGGGATTGAGAATAAGGCAGGAGAATAAGAGATAGACACAAAATCAATCATGAG